CCCCGGAGCGGGCCTCTGCTCACCAGCTGCTCCCTGTGGGGCAAGGGTCCCGGTCCAGGCAGGGGAAGGGGGCTGGGGCAAGCTTGCCTTTCCGCCCAGGATTCCTAGCCTGCCACCCACCTTGCACTGAAATGGTACTGCACACCCCACCTTTCTCACCTGAGGGCAGGGCCGTTGCCCTGGACATAGAGCCAGACCTGGGTGCTCCTTCTGGACTTGGCATGTGAGAACAGTGGGCAGGGGACTTGGGTTCCCCCAAACCTCCCATCACCTCTTGCTGGGGAAGACTCGTGCTGAGCACATAGCTGTGGATTAGGGGTGCTCTCTGTCAATGACGGGGGTAAAATCTGGTAAGAGGGTCAGAATAAAGGGCCTGAGCTACATAGTACACCAGTTTCACCCAGCCAAGCTGTCTCAGCTTCCCTCTCCACCAAGAAATGCCACCACATGCCCCCTCTATTTTTTCAGCCAGCCTTGGATGGAAGGTGCCCACCCTAGAGACTGCTCACTACAACGGACCCCCACCTTCATAGTCCAGTGTCCCGTCCCCCAACAAGTTCCTAAGAGTTGGCCTTTCTCACGCCCATCATCTGCCCTGAGCTTTGCTGCTCTGACACCCTTGCCCTTGTCCTCCCTGATCTTTTCAGGGTGGGGGAGCCCCGTGAAAACCTTCAAGATGGAGCATGCCGGGGGCTCGGGAACACACACACACATCTTACTTGATTTTCACAGGCATCTGACTGATTCTGACTCGTAGCGACCCTGTAGGACAGGGTAGAACTGCCTCTGTAGGTTTCTGAGATTGTAACTCTTTAGGGAAGTAGGAAGCCTCGTCTTTCTCCCATGGAGACACAGGTGGCTTCAAACTGCTGGCCTTACAATTAGCAGCCCAATGCAGAACGACTGCATCACCAGGCTCCTCCACTATGAAATCAGTCCATCCCTGTGGGTGGTGCTCCCTGGGGGCAGGTCTCCACCAAGTGACCCCTCCGAAACAGAAACCACACTCTGAGTGTCAACTATGAGAGACATCATATCTCATATCCAGGTATGATAAATGAGGACCCAGACTAGCTGGACCAGCTCCACACACCACCACCACCCCCGCCACACACACACACACACACACACACACACAGGTCAGGCCACAGATGCAGGATGAAGGGGCCAGGAGCAGTTGGGGACCAGTTCATGGATCCTGCCCCTAAGACGGTGGTTTTTAACTTCCCAACTGCTCGCTCTTTCCCTCCAGCAGGTGAACCTGCTCCTGCTTGTAGATTGCTCTTAAACTCCGCCCTCCGTCACCAGACCTGCACTAACAGCTCGCATCTCGCATCAGAACACAGGCTTCTACACTCAGGTGGTTGAGGCCAGTGGTTCCCTAGGCCAGCCCGTGTCTCCCATCATCTCTCTCTGCATCCCATGCATGTACCACCTGTGGAAATGCGGGAAACAAAGGTTTCTCCCAAGTCGTCTACCCAACTATATGCTAAACTTAGCTGCTTGCTGCACGTGGCTAATGACTATCCACTTGGAGGTCAACAGAACTAGGTCAGGGGTTATTCTCCCTAAGGGTTATCAGCCATCTAGAGCAAGCAGTCACCACTGTGTATCCCACAACAAGCAGGACCCACTCCCTTCTGATAAAGATAGTAGTAGTTGACTATTTCCTTGTAGGAGACCCCAGAGAGGTCGAGCCCACCCAAGGGTGACCAAGGTTAGGCCACTATCGTGAATCTAGGGTCGCCCATCTTGTCACATGTATACCTCTAGTCCCTCCCCCTTCCTATCATGTGTACACCCCAGCTCATCCCCTTCCTGTTGCACCTATGCCCATTGTATATCCCCCTCCTATTGCTTGTATGCCGATTGTACTGCCCCTTCCTGTGACGTGTGGTTACCTGTAATCACGCCTCCCCTAAGTAGATATAACCCTTGGTCAGCAATAAAAGGGGTCTCCAGTCGGCTGGCTCTCTCCCGGTCTCCATCCCACCTCACCTCTGGCCCTCTCAGCCCACGCTGTGCGCGCACCTGGCTGATGAGATCATGGCCATCCAGAAGGTGAGTATGCTACCATGAAATGTGTCTGACTTCTTTATCTAACTCTCTCTCCTATCTCTCATGCTCAATGATTTCACTATAATTTCTCTATATTTCACTATAAGTTCTCCCGAATCCCAAGCACCGTGGATCCTGCCCAGCTTTCTCTGCTTCCAAAATTGGGTCTACCCCCCACTGTCCACACCCTGAAGATTCCCTTCTTTGAATGTTTGAAATGAACTTGTATGTTATTAAAGACCCCAAGTCCATTTCAGTTACTTTGCCTCCTTTTTCTGCCGCTCAGACCAGTATTTAGATCTGAGGGGTGAGGGGCCTGGAGGGTTTTTGTTGTTGTTTCGCAGAAGAAGCAAGTTTTATTTTGATTTTGGTTTGTTTTTTCCATGTTAAACCCTTCTCTTTTTTTTGTCCAAACCCATCCCTCCCGTTTCCTTGTTCCCACACCCATTCCTGGCCTCGCCATCAAAGTCTTGTCTTTTCACATATAAACATTTCTTCTTCTTTGTTTATCTATAAACAATGGTGGCATTAAATGTCCATCTTTGTAAGATTGACTGAGTTTGCTGAGCATAATGTTCCCTCGTTTTGTCCCAGTCCTGTGGTGGTTGAGAGAGTTATTGTTGTTTTTTTATTGATGCATAAAACTACATAGTCTGAATGCGCATGTTTCTCCATTCCTCTACAGTTGGGGGTTTGGGACTGTTTCCATGTTTTTGCTACTGTGGGAATGGCTGCCATAAA